AATTGTATCAATAACTCATACAATCGTTTATTATTCACTCCCTTAATTGCTGCTTCCTCTATTCGTCTGGCTACTCCGGCAACATACATAGAGTCTGTGACCACATTTAAAGGCTCCTGTAAGTTGGACACTGCCCATACTACTGCCAACAATTCCAAAGTTTGTAAACTATCTGCAGGATCTGCTGTAAGAAGTTGATGCTTCCATTGTCCTTTTTCTTGCCAGGTGACAGCAGCACGCCTTGATTTCTTTCCTGCATCTGTAAAAGCTGTAATAGCTCCTGTATCCAATAATCCATAAAGGGTTATGCTTTGATGCCCATGGGTAATCTCCACTTTTTGTTTTGGTCTATTTTGTAAATCCACAGTCCAAAAGTGTAACACCAGTAGAGCCAAAACCCTTTTCATCCCGCGTTTGTCCAGTAAATGATGGTATACCAGATGTCATTTGTGATAGTGGTATTAATTGTGCAATGCGTTGTCCTTTTGTTATTTTAATAGGAGGATAAAGGGTGTAAACCATAATTTGTATTTCCCCTGTATAATCCGCATCGATAACACCAGGCAATACAAATAATCCCAGCATAGTTATTGAAGAACGTCCTAATAACAATGCTCCACATTTTTATCCATTTAATATAAGAGGACCCTTTACTCCAGTTTGTATCCTCTCAGGCCGGTTCGTCATTAGTGTGACGTCTACTGCTGCTGATAAATCCAAACCGAGGCTCTCTGCTGTTGCGGTTGCAGACAGGAGGTGACAGTGATGTTACGGCAGCAGCTGATGTCTCCGATGTCACGGCGGCAACTTGTGTCTGGGCGCGTATGTCCCTCATTGCCCCATCAGTAACACTTGATGAATGGTCTCGAGCTCTGCGTGTCCGCCAGTGAGCCGCTTCGGAGAGGAGCAAGAGCAGCTAACACCTGATTCTGAGCAGCTAACACCTGATTTTGAGTAGACTCTGCTTGCTTTTGTAACCCTAATCCTAATTCCTTTAAAGTTTCTGCTAGAAATGCCTGTGAAGCTGTTGGCATTAATGCCATTCGCTCTAAAGCTTCCTCAATAGTCCAATTTGCCCCTAAAGTAGCTAACACTCTTGCATTTGCCTAACAGGTTCACTTTTTACTCCAAACTAACCGTAGAACGTAATTGAGCTAACATCTTCCAATCTAAGGGATTATATTCCGCTATATTATGCGTAAGGTTCCCCTGTGCATCCTACTGTGGTGTGTATGTGACCGGACATGCAAGATTAGAAACTATTTCCACCGCCTCGCCATCCCCCATTTGCATTACTTCTTTTGCCACAGCAGCCCAAGCTTCCCTCCTCTGTTTAGCCATCTCCCCTCATAGGTCACTGTGTGCCCCCGGGATGGGATCTGGCCCTTTAAGGGTGCTATGCTGCTGGCACTTCGGTACCGAGACCGAGCTCTCGCACGGGGAAGGCGGTGGAGCAGGAGCCGGCTCGCGCGGCGGAAGCGGCCCACCCGCTGCTGGAGCTGACAGTGAAACCGGAGACGACTTGCGCGGGGGAAGTGGCCCCCCGGGAGCCGGCCCGCTCGGGGGAAGCGGCGGAGGCAAAGGTGGCGGCGGAGGCGAAGCTGGCTTGCTCCCCCGCCCACCGTCCGACCCGCCTGAAGCTGGCGGCGGAGGCAAAGCTGGCTTGCTCTTACCTCCACCATCCAACTCGCCTGAAGCTGGCGGCGGAGGCAAAGCTGGCTTGCTCTTACCTCCACCATCCAACTCGACCTCCCCCTCTGACAGGAAGGGTGCAGATGGTTCCACTGTATCTAAGGGAAAATTTTCCACACCATTTTGCTGGGGACCCTTAAGCATAAGTATCTGAGTTACAGAAGGTGCTAAGGGATCATCCTCACGACCATACCCTATATTCCTCTTATGAGCTTCTGTCGCCCTTTCTGCTGCCTTTCTCTCAGAGACCTGCTGAAGTAACGTATTATACACCACCCGCCATAACTTGCCAAATTTCTTTGCTGACTTATCATCATCTAACACTGTATCCCACAGGATATCCCCAAACCTTTTCCACTCTACTATCTCATGAACTGTATATGAATTAGCAAAAATTGCTTTAGAATAACCATAAGCTAATAACCCTGGCAATTCCTTTTTTAAATCTATCCCTTTTACTCCTCGTCTTTCTAAATATGAGGAGAAGGGATCGTATGTCGCTTGCCTATCCATACCTATATATCAGCGCGCGCTGTTGCAGCCCTTCCAGGCTCTCGGCGACACGTAGAGACTTGAGATACCTTTTGTAATCCTCAAGGGTGCTTTTAAAATCCGGCACCGTCCCGGCTGCAAGGACTCTCACCCAACTTCCTCGACCGTGGCGAATTTATAATCCAAGAGAGCGAACGTTCAGAGTGCCTTTGCCCGCATTCTCCACCATTTGTTGGAGGAAGGAGAACCAGACACCAGTTGGTTCATCCAAGTCCAATTTATTGATCGAATATGGCGGGTTAAATATAGTTCTTAATAAGCTTCATACATATTGCAAAAGTTGAGCTCAGGATTGGTTAGTTACATATCAGCAACTACACCTACTTCTACATTCTTGTGCTTATTCTTCTGTTACATTCTGCAGATATTCAGGACTAATCTCACCTCCCTTTCCTCATGTTGCAGCAAGGCCATCCGGCATTCTTGCTTGTCAGCAGTCACTGAATCAGAGAATGCTGATCTCCCTCTTTCAGCTTAACCAGTGGCATTATGTCAGTATGGCCTTTCTCAGCTAACCAACTCTTAATAAAATCCTCCACAGGTTGAGCTTTGGCCTCATCCCCATCTCCCCTCTGTCCCGCAGGGCTCCAGGCGTCTGTGAACCTGCTGGAGTGCGGGCGGGACCTCCAGCCCCCCGGGGGGTCCCTGCGCCTCCTCTGCCAAGGGTCCGGGTTCAGTTTTGGGGATTATGGAATGTACTGGATCCGCCAGAGACCCGGGCAGGGTTTGGAATACGTCGCAGGCAGCTGCTACAATAGCGCCAACACCTACTATGCGCCATCGGTCAAGGGCCGGTTCAGGATCTCCAGGGACAACGGACAGAGCTCGGTGACGCTGACCATGAACAACCTCAAGGACGAGGATTCCGTCTTTTATTTCTGCGCCAAGTGTGCTGCTAATAATTACCCTGAACATGCTGCTCGTAGTGACGATGCCCATGGTGTCCCCATCCCCATCCCCTTATCCCCCCCTGTCCCGGTTCCCCAGACCCTTCCCCCAAGCCCCCAGCCCACACCCAGCCCTTGGCCATTGATCCCAACCTTGCTCTGCCCTGGCCCCAATTCTCACCCGCTGACCCCAAACCACAACTCCTGACCCCAAATCTCCTCTTTGTGCCCCAAAACTTTGCTCTGCATTTCGGGGTTTGAGGCCAAGGGTTCAAATTTCTGTCAGAATTGGGGATTCGTGTCAGCAGCTCTGACTGGGAGCACAAAGTCGGGCTTTAGGGCAGAATCGGGTGATTTTGGTGCAAACTTAATTGGGTTTGGGGCAGAACCAGTTTGGGGCTTTTGGCTCCATGGTCGGTGTTGTGGAACTGGGGGAGATCTGGGACAAGGGGTCAAGAATGGGTTCAAGGACTGAGATTTGGGGGAAGGGTCTGGAGATTGGGGACAGGAGGGGACCCAGTCAAGCGGAAGAGGCCAAGAGCACAGACATCATTACCCCAACTGGCACCAGCAACCTTGGCACAGAAATAAGATCCGGAATCCTTGTCCTTGAGGTTGTTCATGGTCAGCGTCACCGAGCTCTGCCCGTTGTCCCTGGAGATCCTGAACCGGCCCTTGACCGATGGCACGTAGTTGGTGCTGCCACTATTGTCACTGATCCCTGCGAGCCACTCCAACCCCTTCCCGGGTCTCTGGCGGATCCAGAGCATGGAGAAACTGCCGAAACTGAACTCGGACCCTCGGCAGAGGAGGCGCAGGGACCCCCCGGGGGGCTGGAGGTCCCCCCCGCACTCCAGCAGGGTCACGGCCACTCCCCCATCCCCAAACCTTCACTGGTTTTGCCAGAAATTCCCTGTGTCTGGCCTCAAATCTCCAACAGAAATTTCCTCTATGGAAAAGTTCCCTAAACCCTGCAATTAGCCCCAATCCACCCATTAATTACTTGGACACCTCAGACAGACTTTTGCAACCACTCATCCCCATCTCCCCTTTGTCCCACAGGGCTCCAGGCGGCCGTGACCCTGCTGGAGTGCGGTGGGCACCTCCAGCCCCCCGGGCAGTCCCTGTGCCTCCTCTGCCGAGGGTCCGGGTTCAGTTTCGGCAGTTTTGCCATGGGCTGGATGTGCCAGAGACCCGGGCAGGGTTTGGAGTTCGTAGCACAGATCAACACTGCTGGCACCACCCACTACGGAGATTCGGTCAAGGGCCGGTTCACGATCTCCAGGGACAACGGGCAGAGCTTGGTGACGCTGACCATGAACAACCTCAAGGACGAGGATTCCGCCATCTATTTCTGTGCCAAGGATTTCTATGCTGTCTGGAATGCCGCCCATGCCATTGGTTTCACTCCCAGTGGTTGGGTTCGTGTTTGGGGTTTCAGCCCCGTCCCTTTCCCCAGCTGTCCCCAGACCCTTCCCCAAACCCCCCTGACCCACCCTTTACCCTTTGTCTCAACCCCGCCCTCTTTGCCCCAACGCTGCCCATTGGCCCCAAACCCTCCCCTGGGTCTGGCCCCAAACTCAACTCTGGGCCCCAAATCTCCCCCTCGTGCCCCAAAACTGCCCCAATGGCATAGATTTGGGGGCAGCGGGTGAGGTTTGGGTCAGTGGCTGCGGCTGGGAGCCCATAGTGGGGATTTGGGGCAGAATCGGGCGAGTTTTTGGGCCAAAGCTGGAGGGCTTGGGGCAGAACCAGTTTGGGGGTTTGGGGTCTTTGGTGGAAATGGGGCAGATCTGGGAAAATGGGTAAAGAATGAGGTCAAGGGCTGAGATTTGGGTAAAGGTTCTGAGATTTGGGGACAAGAGGGGCTCAGGCAAGGGCGCTGCCACCACCGGCAGGGTCAATGTAAGCAGCAGCAGCCCAACCATCAGCAGAAGCCTTGGCACAGAAATAGGATCCGGAATCCTCGTCCTTGAGGTTGTTCATGGTCAGCGTCACCGAGCTCTGCCCGTTGTCCCTGGAGATTGTGAACCGGCCCTTGACCGACAGCGTGTAGATGGTGCTGGAACCATCGCTCCTGATCCACGCGACGAATTCCAGCCCCTGCCTGGGTCTCTGGTGCAACCACTGCATGGCAAAACTGCCAAAACTGAACCCGGACCCTCGGCAGAGGAGGCGCAGGGACCCCCCGGGGGGCTGGGGTGCCCCCCCACACTCCAGCAGGGTCACGGCCGCCCGGAGCCCTGCAGGACAAAGGGGAGATGGGGATGGGAAACCTGATTGCTCGAGAGTCCCCAGGTCATCCAGGCCAGTTGGAAAAACGGATGGGATCCATTCTGGATAGTGGCCAGGATCAGGGGGAGAAGGACGAAATGTTCACAATTTGGGGCCAATAGTTGGAATTTTGGGGTCAAGCGTTGAGCTTTGGCCTCATCCCCATCTCTCCTTTGTCCCACAAAGGGCAGCCGTGACCCTACTGGAGTGCGGGGGGCACCTCTAAACCTCCGGGGGGTCCCTGCGCCTCCTCTGCCGAGGGTCCGGGTTCAGTTCCGGGAGTGTTGACATGTTCTGGGTGCGCCAGAGACCCGGGCAGGTGCTTGAATACGTCGCAAGGATCTACAACACTGGTGCTTACACCAACTACGCGCCGTCGGTCAAGGGCCGGTTCAGGATCTCAAGGGACAACGGGCAGAGCTCGTTGACGCTGACCATGAACAACCTCAAGGACGAGGATTCCGGATCCTATTTCTGTGCCTAATGTTACAGTAGTAGTTGTGGTGGTGGGGGTGCTGCTTATGGTGTTGATGGTGCTTGTGGTCCGGAGCGCTCTCCTCTCTCTTCCCAAATATCTCAGAATTCTCTGATCCTTCCCCAAAATCCCCACCCCTCTTTCTCAAATCTTGACCATTTCCCCAAACTCCACCATCACTTCCCCAATTCCCAATTTCCCCCAATTTTCCCCATTTCTCCCCATTCTGGCCCTTCCCCTCCGTCCCAGTGTGGAACGGGGATCGCTCCAGGCCCCTTTGCTCACAAAGCTTTTTGTGCAGTCGGCGCTCTGCCGCAGAGCCCAGAGGCTGAGCTGCCCTCTGCCAAACACAGATGTTCACAATGAACAAAACCAGGAACTTTCTGTTTCCTTTCCTGCCCCGGCTGGGCCCCAGCACCTGCCGGGGAGGAAGTGGGGGGAGGCTGCGGAGCCCCAAAATCGCGGCGTCTTCTCCTCCCTCCCTCCCTCCCTCCCTCGCTCCCACCTGGGGCTTCACTTCTCCCTCAGCGGCCTCGGTGTCTGGGGCTGGTCCTTGGGGCTGGGCTGGAATACTCTCTGGGAGCTATCGAGAAAAAACCCTGGTTTTTTACCCAAAATCTCATGAAATTTTGGGGAAATTGAATTTTTCAAATTGATCTAAAGCCAAGGTCTCCATGCTGAGAGAAGCAGAGGGGTCCAAGGGTGGAGTCACCTGGAACCTTCCATCGGTCAAGGGCAGGGTCAGAATGGCCAATGAGAGCTCAGGAGCCAAAATGGCCCCGAGTGGGCCCCGAGCTGAGGTGTGGGGCCAGGAGCTGAGAATGTGGGGCAGAGTCAGGGCAGGGTTGGGGCACGGGGAAAGAAATGGGGTCAGGGGCTGGGGGTTGGGGAAGGGTCTGGGACAGGTGAGGGCAAGTGGTGACACAGCGATGGGTGCGGGGCCAATACCATAGGCATCATTATCAGGAGCAGTAGCACCAGCATCCTTGGCACAGAAATAGGATCCGGAATCCTCGTCCTTGAGGTTCCTCATGGTCAGCGTCACCGAGATCTGCCCGTTGTCCCTGGAGATCCTCACCCGGCCCTTGACCGACGATGCGTAGTCGGTGTAAGCACCATTGCTGCTGATCCCTGCAAACCATTCCAGCACCTGCCCGGGTCTCTGGCGCAGCCACTGCATGCAAAAACCCCCAAAACTGACCCTGGACCCTCAGCAGAGGCGGCGCAGGGACCCCCTGGGGGGGCTTGATGTCCCCCCCAGTCTCCAGTAGGGTCACGGCCGCCCGGAGCCCTGCGGGACAAAGGGGAGATGGGGATGAGAAACCTGATTGGCCCAGGGCCTCAAAGTGGGCTTGGCCATGTGGAGAAAGGGAGAGGACCCACCTGGGAGGAGGATGATGAACTCCAAGGGTCCCAATTTAGGGCCAAGGTTCAGGATTTGGGTCAAGGGTTGAGCTTTGGCCTCATCCCCATCTCCCCTTTGTCCCGCAGGGTTCCGGGCGGCCGTGACCCTGCTGGAGTGCGGGGGAGAACTCCAGCCCCCTGGGGGGGCCCTGCGCCTCCTCTGCCGAGGGTCCGGGTTTTATTTTGGAGGTTTCACCCTGTATTTGATCTGCCAGAGACCCGGGCAGGCGCTGGAGTGGCTCGCTGGGTTCAGCGCCAGCGCCAACTACGCGCCATCGGTGCAGGGCCAGTTCACGATCTCCAAGGACAACGGGCAGAGCTCGGTGACGCTGACCATGAACAACCTCAAGGACGAGGATTCCGCCATTTATTTCTGCGCCAAAGCAGCCGGTGCTTATAGCAATGATGGTGCTGTTTATGGTCTCACGTCAGGAATTTTAGCCCAAGGTTTAAATTCTTGACCTCTCATCTCAGCCTTAGTCCCAAATGTTGACCTTGTCTGTAATCTTTGGTGTACGAGGGCACTGAGTGTGGCCCAGAGGTGATATTGGGGACAAAACCAGACTAGGACTGGGACAAAGGGTCAGGAATGGGGTCCAGGTGCCCAGGCAGAGCCCTCCCCCTACAGTCCAGCCCCTCCCCAGGTCAGGGTCAGTGGGAAACTCCCACTGCAGGACTCGAACCCCTGGCCCTGGGCAACCATGGAGAGATTGACCAGCCCAGGTGGGGACAGAGGGGCCAGGGCTGGGCCTGGGCAGGGGTCTGGGGACAGCTGGGGACATGGCCATGGGGGAACAGCCAAGAGTACTGGCAGTGTTGGCATTGCTACCAGAACTTCGCTTGGCACAGGAATAGGATCCAGAATCCTCGTCCTTGAGGTTGTTCATGGTCAGCGTCACCGAGCTCTGCCCGTTGTCCCTGGAGATCGTGAATCGACCATTGACTGATGGCGCATACCAGGTGGCACCATTGCTCCAGATCGCTGCGATCCACTCCAGTCCCTGCCAGGGTGTCTGTCGATACCAGCCCATCCCAAAATTCCCAAGATCAAACCCGGACCTTCGGCAGAGGAGGCGCAGGGACCCCCCAGGGGGCTGGAGGTCCCCCCCGCCCTCCAGCAGGGTCACGGCCGCCCTGAGCACATCCCCAAACCTAAACTGGAATTTTGCCCCAAATTCCCTTTGTCTGGGCTCAAATCTCCAACAGATATTTCCAGTATTGTAAAGTTCCTTCAACTCTGCCATTAGCCCCGATCCACCCATTAATTATTTGTACAGCTCTGCCTGAGTTTTGCATGGCCCCATCCCCATCTCCCCTTTGTCCTGCAGGGCTCCGGGCGGCCGTGACCCTGCTGGAGTGCGGGGGGGACCTCCAGCCCCCCGGGGGATCCCTGCGCCTCCTCTGCCGAGGGTCCGGATTCAGTTTCGGCAGTTTCTCCATGCTCTGGATATGCCAGAGACCCGGGCAGGGGCTGGAGTGGCTCGCAGGGATCAGTGACAATGGTGGCAGCATCAACTACGTGCCATCGATCAAGGGCCAGTTCAGGATCTCCAGGGACAACGGGCAGAGCTCGGTGATGCTGACCCTGAACAACCTCAAGGACGAGGATTCTGGATCCTATTTCTGTGCCAAACGTGACAATGGTTATGCTGGTGGTAATGCTGCTGCTGTTTTTGCCTTCACTTCTGCTAGTGACCATGAGGGTCGTGAAATTTCTCCAATCCCAGCGATGTTTCCCCCAAGTTTCAGCCCTTCTAAAACCTCGACCATTTCCCCCCAAACTCTACCATTGTTGCCCCAACTCTGTACTTTCCTCGAAATTTTGCCCATTTCTCCCTAATCTCTACCGAGTCCCAGGCCCTGATTGGAGGAGGCCTGAACTGGAGGCCAGGGGTGAAGGTTTGGGGCCAATGGTTGAGATTTGGGGAAGGAGCAGGGGAGGGTTTGGGGTCAGTGCTGACCAATTGGGCAAATGGGGGAGATTTGGGACAAAGGGTCAAGGACTTAGGTTTGGGGAGGAAGAGTCTGGGTTTGGGGACAAGAGGGGCTCTGATGGGGTGGTGCAACCAACGGAATGGTCAATACAGGCAGCAACAGGGTTACCAGTATTGACAGATTTCACACAGAAATAGGATCCGGAATCCTCGTCCTTGAGGTTGTTCATGGTCAGCATCACTGAGCTCTGCCCATTGTCCCTGGAGATTGTGACCCGGCCGTTTACCGACGGCGCGTAGTCGGGGTAACCACCATTGTTGTTCACACTCATGACGTATTCCAGTGCCGGCCCAGGTCTCTGGCGCATCCACATCATCCCAAAACTGCCGAAACTGAACCCGGACCCTCGGCAGAGGAGGTGCAGGGACCCCCCGGGGGGCTGGAGTTCCCCCCCGCTCTCCAGCAGGGTCACGGCCGCCCGGAGCCCTGCGGGACAAAGGGGAGAAGGGATGGGAAACCTGATTGGCTGAGGGCATGAATGGGTGGTAGTGTCAGCTTGAAAAAGGGGGCAGGACCCACCTGGGAGGAGGATGATGAACTCCAAGGGTCCCAATTTGGGCCCAGAGTAAGGATTTGGGTCAAGGGTTGAGCTTTGGCCTCATCCCCATCTCCCCTTTGTCCCGCAGTGCTCCGGGCGGCCGTGACCCTGCTGGAGTGGGGGGGGGAACTCCAGCCCCCCGGGGGGTCCCTGCACCTCCTCTGCCGAGGGTCCGGGTTCAGTTTCGGATGTTTTGGGATGGGCTGGATTGGCCAGAGACCTGGGCAGGGTTTGGACTTTGTGGCGAGTGTCACCAGTGATGGCGCCACTCCCAGATATGCGCCGTCATTCAAGGGCCGGTTCAGGATCTCCAGGGACAACGGGCAGAGCTTGGTGACGCTGACCATAAACAACCTCAAGGACGAGGATTCCGCCGTTTATTTCTGTGTCAAACTTTCCAATGGTTACGCTGGCAATGCTATTGATGCTGGAATCAATCCACATAGTGACCATGATGGTCAAAAAATTTCCCCAATCCCAGAGATCCTTCCCCAAAATCCTTGCTCTTTTACTCACATCTCAGCCATTTTCCCCCAAACTCCACCGTCACTTCCCCAATTCCCAATTTCCCCCAATTTTCCCCATTTCTCCCCAGTCTGGCCCTTCCCCTCCTTCCCAGTGTGGCACAGGGATCGCTCCAGGGCCCTTTGCACACAAAGCTTTTTGTGCAGCCGGCGCTCTGCCGCAGCGCCCAGAGGCTTAGCTGCCCTCTGCCAAACACAGATGTTCACCATGAACAAAACCAGGAACTTTCTGTTTCCTTTCCTGCCCCGGCCGGGCCCCGGCAGCTGCCGGGGAGGAAGTGGGGGGAGGCTGCGGAGCCCCAAAATCACGGCATCTTCTCCTCCCTCCCACCCTCGCTCCCACCTGGGGCTTCACTGCTCCCTCAGTGGCTGCGGTGTCTGGGGCTGCTCCTTGGGGCTGGGCTGGAATCCTCTCTGCGAGCTATGGACATGGTGATGATGCTGGTGGTGGCCCCAAACCCCCATACCTGGCTCCCCAAATGTCCCAAAATCCCCAAATCCTGCCCCAAATCCCAACCCTTGACCCCATTCTTGACCTTCTCCCCCAGTGTCCACCATCTTTTCCCCAACTCTGGACTTTCCCCCAGTTTTTCCCATTTCACCCAAATCTCCCCCAGCTCCCCGGGCCCTGATTGGAGGAAGCCTGACCTGGAGGCCAGGGGTGAAGTTTTGGGGCCAGTGGTTGAGTGTTGGGGCAGGAGCAGGGGAGGGTTTGGGGTCACTGCTGACCATTGGGGCAAATGGGGGAGATTTGGGACAAAGGGTCAAGGGCTGAGGTTTGGGGGATAATTTAAAGGAAGCGTCTCAGTTTGGGGACAGGTGAGGACCCAGAGATGGGGATGGATCCACCACGGCCATCGTCACTATAAGCAGCAGCACCACCATAACCACGAGTACCACGTTTGGCACAGAAATAGATGGCGGAATCCTCGTCCTTGAGGTTGTTTATGGTAAGCGTCACCGAGCTCTGCCTGTTGTCCCAGGAGAGCGTGACCCGGCCCTTGGCCGACAGCATGTAGTCGGTGCTGCCAGCACTGCTGCTGATACTGGCGATGTATTCCAGCCCCTAACCGGGTCTCTGGCGCACCCAGTGCATGCAAAAACTCCCAAAATCAAACCCGGACCCTCGGCAGAGGAGGCGCAGGAACTCCCCGGGGGGCTGGGGTGCGGGGGGGACCTCCAGCGCCCCGGGGGGTCCCTGCACCTCCTCTGCTGAGGGTCCGGGTTCGATTTTGGACAATTTGGGATGGGCTGGATGCGGCAGAGACCTGGGCAGGGGCTGGAATACGTCGCGAGTGTCAACAACAATGGAGGCTACACCGAGTGCGCGCCATCAGTCCAGGGCTGGTTCAGGATCTCCAGGGACAACGGGCAGAGCTCGGTGACACTGACCATAACAACCTCAAGGACAAGGATTCCGGATCCTATTTCTGTGCCAAATCTGCTAATGCTGGTTGGCCTGCTGCTGCTACTCATATTGACCATGCCAGTTTTGGCATCACCCCTGTCTGAGCCCCGTGTCCCCAAACCCAACCCTTCTCCCGAACCTCAGCCCTTGACCCTTTGTCCCAGATCTCTCCCATTTGCCCCAATGGTCAGCACTGACCCCAAACCCTCCCCTGTTCCTGCCCCAAAACTCAGCCATTGGACCCAAACCTTCACCCCTGGCTTCCAGTTCAGGCCTCCTCCAATCAGGGCCTGGGACTTCGCAGAGATTTGGGGGAAATGGGCAAAATTGGAGGAAAGCACAGAGTTGGGGCAACAATGGCAGAGCTTGGGGGGAAATGGTCGAGGTTTTAGAAGGGCTGAAACTTGGGGGAAGTATCGCTGGACTGGAGAAATTTCACGACCATCATGGTCACTACCGGAAGTCAAGGAAAAGAGCAGCAGCATTACCATCAGCATAACCATTGTCACGTTTGGCACAGAAATAGGAGCCGGAATCCTCGTCCTTGAGGTTGTCCATGGTCAGCGTCACCGAGCTCTGCCCGTTGTCCCTGGAGATCGTGAACCGGCCCTTGACCGATGGCGCGTAAAAGGTGCTGCCACCACTGCTGCTGACACTGGCAATGTATTCCAGCGTCTGCCCGGATCTCTGGCGAAACCAGTACATCCCAAATTGTCCGAAATCAAACCCGGACCCTCAGCAGAGGAGGCGCAGGGACCCCCCGGGAGGCTGGAGATCCCCCCCGCACTCCAGCAGGGTCACGACCGCCCGGAGCCCTGCGGGACAAAGGGGAGATGGGGATGGGACACCTGATTGGTCAAGGGCCTCAATGCAGGTGTGGCCAGCTGGAAAAAGGGGCGGGATGCTCCTGGGAGGAGGATGATGAACTCCAAGGGTCCTAATTTGGGGCCCAGAGTCAGGATTTGGGTCAAGGTGTGGGGTTTGGCCTCATCCCCATCTCCCCTTTGTCCCGCAGTGCTCCGGGCGGCCGTGACCCTGCTGGAGTGCGGGGGGGACCTCCAGCCCCCCGGGGGGTCCCTGCGCCTCCTCTGCCGAGGGGCCGGGTTTGATTTTGGGTATTTTGGAATCATCTGGATCCGACAGAAATCTGGGAAGACACTGGAATACATTGCCAGTATCAGCAGTGGTGCTTACAGCGACTATGCGCCGTCGATGCAGGGCCGGTTCTCGATCTCCAGGGACAACGGGGCAGAGCTCGGTGACGCTGACCGTGAACAGCCTCAAGGACGAGGATTCCGGATCCTATTTCTGTGCCAAACGTGGTACTGCTAGTAGTTACAGTTATGATAGTACTGCTCTTAGTGACAGTTCCGGCAGTGGTCCCCCCCGCCATGATGGTCACCAGATGTCCCTGATCCCCGCAGATCCTTTCCCAATATCCCAGACCTTCTCCTCAGATGGTCACCATTTACCCCCAAACTCTGGCATTACTGCCCCGATTTCCGACTTTCTCCAAATTTTGCCCATTTCACCCAAATCTCCCCCAGCTCCCGGGCCCTGATTGGAGGAGGCCTGAACTGGAGGCCAGGGGTGAAGGTTTGGGGCCAATGGTTGATTTTTGGGGCAGGAGCAGTGGGGGATTTGGGGTCAGTGCTGACCATTGGTGCAAATGGGGACAAAGGGTCAAGGACTGGGTCAATGGGTGAGGTTTGGGATGAAAATCAGAACTCTGGGGACTCAGCGATGGGAGTGGGATGAAAGGCAGGAGCTTGAGACCATCAGGGGTACCGTCACCATTAGGAGCAGCCCCATAACCATCAGCAGCCCTGGCACAGAAATAGGATCCGGAATCCTCGACCTTGAGGTTGTTCATGGTCAGCGTCACCGAGCTCTGCCCGTTGTCCTGGGAGATCGTGAACCGGCCCTTGACGGATGGCGCGTAGTAAGTGGCTCCACCAATGTTTATGTACGCCACGAATTCCAGCCCCTGCCCGGGGCTCTGGCGCACCCAGTTCATGGCAAAATTGCCGAAACTGAACCCGGACCCTCGGCAGAGGAGGCGCAGGGACCCCCCGGGGGGCTGGAGGTCCCCCCCGCGCTCCAGCAGGGTCACGGCTGCCCGGAGCCCTGCGGGACAAAGGGGAGATGGGGATGAGGGGATGGATTGGCTGTGTGGTAAAAGTTGGCGCTGCCATTCCAGAAAAAGTGTGTGGGATCAACCCGGGATGACTGGCAGGAGTTGGAGGAGAAAGATGGTGACGTCCAAGAGTCGCAATTTTTGGGCAACATCAGGATCTGCATGCAAGAATCAACATTTGGGTGGATGTTTTCCTTCATTCCCATCTCCCCTTTGTCCCGCGGGACTCCGGGCGGCCGTGACCCTGCTGGAGTGCGGTTTCTAATCCCCGGGAGATGGGGATTAGAAACGTGATTGGCTGTGAGCCTCAAAGTGGGTGTGTCAAACGGGAAAATGGGGTGGGACCCACCTGAGAGGGGCAGGAGGAACAGGACAACTAGGATGGGGTGGTCCAAAGGTCCCAGTTTGGGGCCCAGAGTCAGGATTTGGGTCAAGGGTTTTAGCTTTGGCCTCATCCCCATCTCCCCTTTGTCCCGCAGGGCTCTGGGCAGCCGTGACCCTGCTGGAATGCAGGGGGGACCTCCAGCCCCCCGGGGGGGTCACTGCGCCATCTCTGCTGAGGGTCTGGGTTCAGTTTTAGCAGCTCTGACATGCTCTGGATCCGCCAGAGACCCGGTCAGGCGCTGGAATCGGTTGCAGGGATCAACACTGGTGTAGGCACCACTGACTACGCGCCATCTGTCAAGGGCCGGTTCAGGATCTCCAGGAACAACGGGCAAAGCTCGGTGATGCTGACCATGAACAACCTCAAGGACGAGGATTCCGGGTCCTATTTCTGTGCCAAATTTGCTGGTGCCGGTAATTGGGATGCTGCTCCAGTTTATCCTTTTGGCCTTTTCCCTGTTCCCCACACCCTTCCCCCATACCCCAACCCCTGACCCCATCCCTCAGCCTGTGTCCCAGCCCTGCTCTGGTTCTGTCTGACATGTACCCTCTGGGCCACACTCAGTGCCGTCGTTCCCCAAAAGTTACCGAAATGTCTGGATTTTGGCCCAAAGTAAAGATCAGGGATCAAGAATTCAAATTTTAGCCCAAAATTCCTGATGTGAGGCCAACGGCGCAGATTTGGGTTAGTGGCTGGGACTCGATGCCCGCAGGGGAGATTTGGGCTGAAACTTGACAAGTCTGGATGCAGTGGTTGGGATTGGAGGGACGAGGCCGAGCTCAGGGTGAAACCGGCCCTGATTTGGGTCCAGGAGCTGAGATTTGGGGCCAGAGCAGGGCAGGGTTGGGACACAAGGACAGGAATGGGGTCAGGGGCTGGGGAACGGGGGACTCTTTTGGGGAAGAGTCTGGGGAACGGGGACGGGAGGGGACAAAGGGATGGGGCTGAAACGACAAACATCAGCAGCATAAGGAGCAGCACCAGGATCAGTGCGTTTGGCACAGAAATAGGATCCTGAATCCTCGTCCTTGAGGTTGTTCATGGTAAGCGTCACCGAGCTCTGCCCGTTGTCCCTGGAGATCCTGAACCGGTCCTTGAATGACAGGGCGTATCTGGGAGTGGCGCCATCACTGGTGACACTCGCGAAAAACTCCAGCCCCTGCCCGGGTCTCTGCCGCATCCAGCCCATCCCAAAATTCCCAAAATCGACCCCGGACCCTCGGCAGAGGAGGCGCAGGGAACCCCCGGGGGGCTGGAGGCCCCCCCCGCACTCTAGCAGGGTCACCGCCGCCCGGAGCCCTGAGGGACAAAGGGGAGATGGGGATTGGAAACCTGATTGGTTGAGAATCTCAAAGTGGGCGTGGCCAACGGGAAAAAAGGGACAGGACCCACCTGGGAGGAGGATGATGAACCCCAAGGGTCCCATTTTCGGGACAAGAGTCAGGATTTGGGTCAAGGGTTGAGCTTTGGCCTCATCCCCATCTCCCCTTTGTCCCACAGGTCTCCAGGCGGCCGTGACCCTGCTGGAGTGCGGGGGGGACCTCCAGCCCCCGGGGGGTCCCTGCGCCTCCTCTGCCGAGGGGCTGGGTTCGATTTTGGACAATTTGGGATGCGCTGGATGCGCCAGAGACCAGGGCAGGGGCTGGAACACATTGGAGGGTTCAAAAGCGATGGCAGCACCTACTACGATCCATCGTTCAGGGGCCGGGTCACGATCTCCAGGGACAACGGGCAGAGCTTGGTGACGCTGACCATGATCAACCTCAAGGATGACGATTCCGGATCCTATTTCTGTGCCAGATGCAATGATGGTGGTTGGAATGGTGCTGCTGTTGCTTATGTTGACAATCTTCAGCATCGCCCCAAGGCCGCTGCCCGAGTTCCCAATATTTCCCAAATTACTTCTCCCAAATCCCAACCCTTGACCCCATTCTTGACCTAACTCCCCAGTTTCCACTATTGCTGTCCGAATTCCTGATGTTTCCACAGTTTTGCCCATTTCACCCAAATCTCCCCCAGCTCCCCAGGCCCTGATTGGCTGAGCTGGCACAGGCAGGAATGGGAACTCTTGGAGAGCAAGGCCTGAACTGGAGGCCAGGGGTTAAGGTTTGGGGCCAATGGTTGAGTTTTGGGGCAGGAGCAGGGGAGGGTTTGGGGTACGTGCTGACCATTGGTGCAAACGGGGGAGATTTGGGACAAAGGGTCAAGGGCTGAGGTTTGGGGGACAATTTGAAGGGAGAATCTCAGTTTGGGGACAGGTGAGGACACAGAGATGGGGTGAATCCAACACGGCCATCGTCACTATAGGCAGCAGCACCAGCACCATGACCACTACCAGCACGTTTGGCACAGAAATAGGATCCGGAATCCTCGTCCTTGAGGTTGTTCATGGTCAGCGTCACCGAGCTCTGCCCATTGTCCCTGGAGATCGTGACCCGGCTGTTGACTGAATCCGCGTAGCCGGAGTTGCCACCATCGTTCCTGATCCATGCGAGCCACTCCAGCCCCTGCCCGGGTCTCTGTCGGATCCAGAACATGTCGTAGCTCCCGAAACTGAACCCGGACCCTCGGCAGAGGAGGCGCAGGGACCCCCCAGGGGTCTGGAGGTCCCCCCCGCATTCCAGCAGGGTCACTGCTGCCCAGAGCCCTGCGGGACAGAGGGGAAATGGGGATGAGGCCAAAGCTCAACCCTTGACCCAAACCCCGACTCTGGGCCCGAAACTGGAACCTTTGGACCACCCCATCCTAGTTGTCCTGCTCCGGCTGCCCCTCTAAGGTGAGTCCCACCCCATTTTCCGGTTTGACACGCCAACTTTGTGGCCCTCAGCCAATCAGGTTCCTCATTCCCATCTCCCCTTTTTCCCGCAGGACTCTGGGCGGCCGAGACCCTGCTGGAGTGCGGGGGGGACCTCCAGCCCCCCGGGGGGTCCCTGCGCCTCCTCTGCCAAGGGTCCGGGTTCGTTTTCGGTAGTTTTGGGATGGGCTGGCATTGCCAGAGACTCGGACAGGGGCTGGAAGCAGTAACCAGTATCAGCAGCCATGGCAGCGCCTACTATGCGGATTCGGTCAAGGGCCGGTTCAGGATCTCCAGGGACAATGGGCAGAGCTCGGTGACGCTGACCATGAACAACCTCAAGGACGAAGATTCCGGATCCTATTTCTGTGCCAAATCTTACAGCACTGGTAGCGCTGCTGCTGCTGTAGCTTATACTGACCATGCCAGTGGTGGCATCACCATTTCTGAGCCCCGCCTGTTCCCAAATCTCAGACCCTTCCTTCAAATGTCAGCCCTTGACCCCATTCTTGACCCTTTGTCCCAGATCTCCCCCATTTCCAACACCAACAACCACGGAGCCACAACCCGCGAACTGCTTCTGCCCCAAACCCAACTAAGTTGGCAGCAAACCTCGCCCGAATCTGCCCCAAATCCCCACTTTATGCTCCCTGCAGCAGCAGCCACTGACCGAATCCTCAACCTTTGTCCCCAAATAGGGACCCTGGGCCTCAAACCCCGACCTTCAGAGCAAAGTTTGGGGCACAAACAGGAGATTAGGGGTCAGGAGTTGTGGTTTGGGGTCAGCGGGTGAGAATTGGGGCGGAGGCAGAGCAAGTTTGGGATCAATGGTCAATGGCTGGGTGTGGGCTGGGGGTATTGGGGAAGGGTCTGGGCAATGGGGACAGGGAGGGGATAAGGGGATGGGGATGGGGACACCATGGGCATCGTCACTACGAGCAGCATGTACAGGGTAATTATTAGCAGCACACTTGGCGCAGAAATAAACGGCGGAATCCTCGTCCTTGAGGTTGTTCATGGTCAGCGTCACCGAGCTCTGCCCCTTGTCCCTGGAGATCGTGACCCGGCCCTTGACCGATGGCGGGTAGATGGTGTTGGCACTATTGTAGTGGATTCCTGCGACGTATTCCAAAGCCTGCCCGGGTCTCTGGCGGATCCAGTACATTCCATAATCCCCGAAAATGAACCCGGACCCTCGGCAGAGGAGGCGCAGGGACCCCCGGGGGGCTGGAGGTCCCCCCCGCACTCCAGCAGGGTCACGGCCCCCCAGAGCCCTGCGGGACAAAGGGGAGATGGGGATGAGAAACCTCATTACTCTAGAGCTTCAAAGTGGGCATGGCTGCAGGTAAAAGGGGCAGGACCCACCTGGGAGGAGGAGGATGATGAACTCCAAGGGTCCCAGGAGGGGCCAAGAGTCAGGATTTGGGTCAAGGGTTGAGCTTTGGCCTAATCCCCATCTTCCCTTTGTCCCGCAGAGCTCCAGGCGGCCGTGACCCTGCTGGAGTGCGGGGGGGACCTCCAGCTCCCCGGGGGGTCCCTGACGTTGCTGTGCCAAGGGTCCAGGTTCGATGTCGGCGCCATCACCATGTTCTGGGTCCACCAGAAACCCGGGCAGGGGCTGGAGTGGGTTGGGAGCATCAGGAAGGAGGGCTGGAACTCCATGTACGCGCCTTCCGTGCAGGGCCAGTTCAGGATCTCCAGGGACAACGGGCAGAGCTCGGTGACGCTGACCATGAACAACCTCAAGGTCGAGGATTCCGGATCCTATTTCTGTGCCAGGGCTGCTGATGGTTATAGTGCTGCTGCTAATGGTGACGATTCCCCTGATGGTCTCAAGCTCCTGCCGTTCATCCGACTCCCATCATTGAGTCCCCAGAGTTCTGCTTTTCATCCCAAACCTCACCCATTTACCCAGCCCTTGACCCTTTGTCCCCATTTGCACCAATGGTCAGCACTGACCCCAAACCCTCCCCTGCTCCTGCCCCAAAACTCAACCATTGGCCCCAAACCTTCTCCCTTGGGCTCCAGTTCAGGCCTCCTCCAATCAGGGCCCGGGAGCTGGGGGAGATTTTAGTGAAATGGGCAAAATTGGGGAAACATCAGGAATTCGGACAGCAATAGTGGAGACTGGGGAGTAAGTTCAAAAATGGGGTCAAGGGTTGGGATTTGGGAGAAGTAATTTGGGAAATTTTGGGAACTCGCGCTGCGGGCTTGGGGCGATGCTGAGGATTGTCACCATAAGAAACAGCAGCACCATTCCAACCACCATCACTGCATCTGGCACAGAAATAGGATCCTGAATCCTCGTCCTTGAGGTTGATCATGGTCAGCGTCACCAAACTCTGCCCGTTGTCCCTGGAGATCGTGACCTGGCCCCTGAATGGCGTGCAGTAGGTGCTCCCATCGCTTTTGAACCCTCCGATGTGTTCCAGCACCTGCCCGGGTTTCTGGCGCATCCAGCCCATCCCAAATTGTCCAAAATCGAACCCAGACCCTCGGCAGAAGAGGGGCAGGGACCCCCTGGGGGGCTGGAGTTCCCCCCCGCACTCCAGCAGGGTCACAGCCGCTGCCCATCCCCAAACCTTCACTGGTTTGCCCCAAATTCCCTTTGTCTCGCCCCAAATCTCCAACAGAGATTTCCAGTATTGTAAAGTGCTTTAAACCCTGCAATGATCCTCAATTCCCCCATTAATTAATTGGACACCTCCACCTGACTTTTGCAACCCCTCATCCCCATCTCCCCTTTTTCCCGCAGGGCTCTGGGCGGCCGTGACCCTGCTGGAGTGCGGGGGGGACCTCCAGCCCCCCGGGGGGTCCCTGCGTCTCCTCTGCCGAGGGTCCGGGTTAAGTTTCGGCAATTTTGGAATGGCCTGGATCCGCCAGAGACCCGGGCAGGGGCTGCAGTGGGTCGGAACCGTCACCAGCAGTGGTGGCAGCACCATCTACGCGGATTCAGTCAAGGGCCGGTTCATGATGTCCAGGGACAATGGGCAGAGCTCGGTGACGCTGACCATGAACAACCTCAAGGACGAGGATTCCGGATCCTATTTCTGCGCCAAGGACACCGATGGTGACGGTGCTTATGCTGATGCTGGTTGGGGAAGATGAAACAGGAAAGCCTTATCAATGTGATTGCCTGGCAAAAGATTTTGAGAATATGGAAACCATCAGCGAGATTGAAAGGAAAGCAACCTTTGAGATCCCTCAGTTACTGAAAAACTGGAAAACAGTTGTTCAGCGTGGCCGGCTGAAGGTGATCCCATTTTGATGGAACAACACCCTGTGATTGCAGACAGCTCCAAGGGTCAGAGTAGACCCCACAGCTTGGCAGAAGGGCCCAAAGAGGGGATTTTAGGGTTTAAAATGTAATAGAGTATGGTAATGAAACGATTCTTATAGGCTGTATGTAAATGCTGTAGGGTTTGTATATTGGACCAGATTGGTTAGTGAGAATTAGAATATTCTACAGAGAAGATTAATTGTATTGTGGTGGGAACCTCACTCTCTTACCCTTTTATTCTCTTACAGTTTTATGTTCTTACCCTTTTACACTCTTACCATTTTATTCACTGACTTTTTCACTCTCTTACCCTTTCTATTCTCTCACCCTTTTACTCATTTACCTTTTTTACTCTCTTACTCTCTTACTCTCTCTCCCGCTCTCCCCTCTCTTCTCTCAGCCCTGCTCCAGCTGTGCCTGGCAGCTCCCAGCAGGGCCCTGCATTTCGTCCTTTGCAATAAACCCCAAATTCCAGACCTGGCTGCAGAGATCTCTCGTGTCCATCGGTCTGTCCCGACCGTCCTATGCCCTGATGCTCCTGCAGTGCTGGTTGGGGAATGGGGCCAAGCCCGGCACGTCAATAGAAGGAACACCATATGTACCATCAGGAGTATAAGCATATTTGGCACTGAAATAGGATCCAGAATCCTTGTCCTTGAGGTTGTTCATGGTCAGCGTCACCGAGCTCTGCCCGTTGTCCTTGGAGATCGTGAACCGGCCCTTGAAAGAATCCGCGTAGCTGGTGCTGCCAGTGGTGCTGATATCTGCAATGAACTCCAGCACCTGCCCGGGTCTCTGGCGGATCCACTGGCCATCACAATAATCCCAAAATCGATCCCGGGCGATCGGCAGAGGAGGCCCAGGGACCCCCCGGGGGTCTGGATGTCCCCCCCGCACTCCAGCAGGGTCACGGCCGCCTGGAGCCCTGCGCGACAAAGGGGAGATGGAGATGAGGAGCCGGACCCGGACGTGGGCTGTGCTGGGGGTGACCAGATCCCAAAAGGGACCTGAACCCACCTAGGAGGGCCAGCAGGATCGGGAGGTGGAGAAAGTGCCACAATTTAAGCCCAACAACAGAATCTGCAGGCAGGAATCAACATTTGGGTGGATTTTTTCCCTCATCCCCATCTGCCCTTTGTCCCGCAGGGCTCCGGGCCGCCGTGACCCTGCTGGAGTGCAGGGGGAACCTCCAGCCCCCCGGGGGGTCCCTGCGCCTCCTCTGCCGAGGGTCCGGGTTCAGTTTCGGCGGTTTTGGGATGAGCTGGTATCGACAGAGACCCGGGCAGGGGCTGCAATTCGTCGCAGGGTTCAACACTGGAGGAGGCATCGGCTACGCGGATTCAGTCCAGGGCCGGTTCAGGATCTCCAGGGACAACGGGCACAGCTCAGCGACGCTGACCATGAACAACCTCAAGGATGAGGATTCCGGACCCTATTTCTGTGCCAAAGCTGCTGCTGATGATTGGGCTGCTCCTGATCGTTTTGATGCCACCCTTATCGCTGTGTCCCCCCTGTCCCCGTTCCTCAGACCCTTCCCCAATCCCCAGCCCCTGACCCCATTCCTGTCCCCGTGCCCCAACCCTGCCCTGACTCTGCCCCACATTCTCAGCTCCTGGCCCCAAACCTCAGCTCGGGGCCCACTCGGGGCCATTTTGGCTCCTGAGCTCTCCTTGGCCATTCTGACCCTGCCCTTGACCGATGGAAGGTTCCAGGTGACTCCACCCTTGGACCCCTCTGCTTCGCTCAACATGGAACCCTCGACTCGAGATCAATTTGAAAAATTTAATTTCCCCAAAATTTCCTGAGATTTTTGTGTAAAAAAAAGGGGGTTTTCTCCAGAGAGAGGATTCCAGTCCCAGCCCCAAGGAGCAGCCCCAGACACCGCGGCCGCTGAGGGAGCAGTGAAGCCCCAGGTGGGAGCGAGGGAGGGAGGGAGGGAGGAGAAGACGCCGTGGTTTTGGGGCTCCACAGCCTCCCCCCACTTCCTCCCCGGCAGCTGCTGGGGCCCAGCCGGGGCAGGAAAGGAAACAGAAAGTTCCTGGTTTTGGTCATTGTGAACATCTGTGTTTGGCAGAGGGCAGCTCAGCCTCTGGGCGCTGCGGCAGAGCACCGGCTGCACAAAAAGCTTTGTGAGCAAAGGGGCCTGGAGCGATCGCCGTTCCGCACTGGGACGGAGGGGAAGGGCCAGAATGGGGAGAAATGGGGGAAACTGGGGGAAATTGGGAATTGGGGAAGTGACGGTGGAGTTTGGGGGAAATGGTCAATATTTTAGGAACACAGCTGGGATTTTGGGGAAGGATCTCTGGGACTGGAAATATTTGCTGACCATCATGGTCACTATCAGGATTGATGCCAAAACCAGCGTCAATAGCATTGCCAGCGCAACCATTGCAAAGTTTGACGCAGAAATAAACGGCGGAATCCTCGTCCTTGAGGTTGTTCATGGTCAGCATCACCAAGCTCTGCCCGTTGTCCCTGGAGATCCTGAACCGGCCCTTGAATGACGGCGCGTATCTGGGAGTGGCGCCATCACCGGTGACACTCGCCACAAACTCCAAACTCTGCCCGGGTCTCTGGCGCATCCAGCCCATCCCAAAATTCCCAAAATCGAACCCAGACCCTCGGCAGAGGAGGCGCAGGGCCCCCCCGGGGGGCTGGAGTTCCCCCCCACACTCCAGCAGGGTCACGGCTGCCGGGAGCCCTGCGGGACAAAAGGGAGATGGGGATGGGAAACCTGATTGGTTGAGGACCTCAAAGTGGATTTTGCCAGTTGGAAAAGAGTCGGGACCCACTTTGGAGAAGGTTGAGAAGATCCACGGATCAGAATTTGGGGCCAATAATCAGAATTTTGGTCAAGGATTGAGCTTTGTCCATCCCATCTCCCCTTTGTCCCGCAGAGCTCCGGGCGGCCGTGACCCTGCTGGAGTGCAGGGGTAACCTCCAGCCCCCCGGGGGGTCCCTGCGCCTCCTCTGCCGAGGGTCCAGGTTCAGTTTTGGACAATTTGGGGTGGGCTGGATCCACCAGAGACCGGGGAAGGGTTTGGAGTTTGTGGCGAGTGTCACCGGTGATGGCGCCCCTCCCAGATACGCGCCGTCAGTTCAGGGCCGGGTCATGATCTCCAGGGACAACGGGCAGAGCTCGGTGACGCTGATCATGAACAACCTCAAGGACGAGGATTCTGGACCCTATTTCTGCGGGAAACCTGCTTATAACAATTGGGGTACTGGTGCTGGTGTGGATGGTTTTGGTCCGGACCCTGTGGCCGTGTCCCGACCGGTCCACAAATACCAGACCCTTCCCTGAAACCCAAACACTTTTGCCCATTCCTGACTCTGTCCCAACCCTAGAGCGGTTCTTCCCCTAATTCCCCATACCTTGCAA